CTAGTGCCCAGGTAAGACGTGATGAGGAGGCCAGGAACCCGAACGAGGCACAGATAGTTAGCGCAATCACGATGGCGCTCATTACAGATGTTCCGGCATGGGATTTTGTGGCGTTGAAGAGTACTTCGATGAAGTCGTATCCTGTTGCGCTGTCGAGGGCGGCGTCAAGGTCGCCAACGCAGAAGAGGAAGGCTAGGACCATGGCGAAACCGAGAACACCGTTTAGCATGATGGTCGCGATCATGCACCAGGGGACTATAACCGAGGCGTTCACTACCTCTTCCGCTGCAGAGGTGTTAGATATGAGTGGAGATGTAGTTGGGGTGTGTTCGAGGACATACACATGTGACAAGGGCCATCATATCCTGGATTACCGAGTCAGTAAGATCGATTGAGTCCGCGTGAGGAGTGTGAGCGTACCAATAAATGGAAGATTCGTCCCCATCAGCCCAATCAGCCAGGTAAGGCCAGAATTCTTCCATCCCGAGGTATTGGTAAAGTTTGCAAAGACGAATTCGGCGTTCTTGTGCGGAGCCAGATAAACCAAGGGGATCAGGATAGCTAGGAAGCCGGCGGTATGGAGAATGAGAATTAGACCTTCGATCTTAGGTAGGAGCCTTGCCCCGAAGGAGTTGACCAAAAAGCAAATCACCAGCGCCGCGAACATGAGCAGGGTTCCATGCCAACGTTGAAAGTCGTATCCGTCATAGTTCAACACCAGAAGGCCCTGCAGGACGGTGGCAGCGAAATACACACCCGACGCAGTGTTGGCCCACCATCCGATCATGTCCAACCATCCAGTTACCCAGCTGAGGAAGACAGCCTGGCCTTTAGGGGCGAGGATTGACACCCAGTGATATTGACCTGCCGACGTGGGAGCCCTGTGTGACAAATGTCTTAGTGTTGTTCTTTTCAAAGACCGTCTAAAGGGGCTGGTACATCGAGGCCATTTCGGCAAGAGAAGCTGCTGTTAACAAAGCTCCAATCCAGCAGAAGATAAACCCGTAGACGAGGGTTGCTGGTCCTCCGTCAATCATGGCTGCTGGATTAGCGCTGTACTATTGTTCAGCTGCCTGACATTCGACAGTGGAGATGTTGACACTCACGTAAGGACCGCCTCCCAAGTACACATCATCGTGGTCGTGAAGCCTAGCATCGACAGGAACCCGAAGTTTCTCTGCTTACATTAGTTGCGACGTAGAGACACTGAATGAAGGCTCACCTCGAAACGCTGTTTCCTGCCAAATTTTGCCATGTCTGCATCATCACGATCCTTGAATTGCCGGGAGCCCAGCTCCTGGATTGCCATATCTCCATGTTTGAAAGACATTATGTTGCTTGACTGGACATCAATATGGAAATCAATCAGGCAAGACAGAAAGCAAAGAATGACAGGGAGAGAAAAGAAGGAAAGAAATATTGGTGTACAACTATGGGGAATGCTATTAAGACCGAGCGACCGACCGATACTGCAGGTGTTGCAGGTTTGCTGCACGATAATTAGGTCTATCCATGAAATATCCACACGGGGATTTCTTGAATAGGCAGGTCGTCTTCCATGCTCATATAAGATTGTTTGCCTCCGACCTTCCGAAGTAAATTAACACTTGTGCCCCCTGAGGTAGGCATTGGACCTCATATGATAGTTGGCCGTAGGATATTAGGCCGTCTGTGAGTCCGTCAATGAACCGGCTTTGACTGCATATTAGCTTCGGGGATCTAAAATGACACTAATTAATTCTCAGATACGCTCATGGAAAACTTCTAGACCTAGTTCCATCTGCAGCGCTGTTTGCGCTACTGCGAGCCCCTTGTCTAGATGACTGCCCGAGCACTAGGTCGTCGGACAGGAGTCAAAGTGAAGACGGCCACGGCTGACCCAGACAAGCTTTGGGGTAAACCTCAGATGCCCAGATAATATTTTATATTGAAATAGGATGTGTGGCTGATTCGTCGAGGTCAAGCTGCGACGCCATGACTGACAGTTAATCTTGATGCGATGACTGGGTCATTATCATGTCAGCACTAATCCATAGTGCATGCACTAATTGCTAGCGTATCGCTCCAGCCCATAGCGACTTGCCCTTAGCTTCACCCTATCCCGAAAAGAGTAAGCTCTATGTCCTAAGTGCCACAGTAAGGTCCCAGACTGCCATCGCCCGCGCTGCTGTGTGGAAGTATCTACTGGATGGCAAACAACGCCTGAGTCTCATGACCCCGCTGTTCAACAAAAGCAATTTAATGTAATCAATCACCATATCACGCCGGGCTTATTTAGCTTACTCTCCCAGTAATCCATGGGCCTTCTCAAAGTTGGCGTTTTTCACTCGCATTTTGAATCTAGGATTCTACTGTCAATTTCCACCTCCCTCAGCCACTCAGTCCGAATTTGCAACTTCTAGTTACCCGAAATGGGCGGCATGGTTGATTGGGCAGCGCGTCCCACATATCCCTTGGAACAGCTCAGACGCTACTTCGACCGGATCGGGCTCCCCGAAAATTATCGAGAAGCTCTTCCAATGCAAGATGTAGCGATCCTCAATGGCCATTCTGCATTAGCTTTGCTGAAGGTGCTGCAACGATACCAACTAGCAGCTGTCCCTTTCGAAAACCTGAACCTCCACTATGCTGTTCATCGGAGTATTTCCATTGATCCTTATCAGGTGTTTGAGAAAATCGTTGATTCTAAGTCTCGTCGTGGGGGCTATTGCATGGAGAACAGTCTCTTGTTTGGCACCGTCCTACGAAGCCTGGGATACGATGTGACCGCCGTAGGGGGGCGAGTCAACGAAGCTGCGCAGCCCATGTCTGCCTCGAAGAATTGGAGAGGGCCCAAGTATGATGGATGGTAATTTTCCCGTCTCTTTGGGGGTAAAGCTCAAACATGAAGTGCTGACTAGCTATAATGAAGGAATCACATGGTCAACATCGTAACTATCGATGAACAAAAGTACCTTGTAGACGTTGGATTTGGCTCCAATGGGCCACACCAGCCCCTCCCACTGGTCCAGGGTTACGAGTTCCACAACGTTGGTGAACAGTCGGGCCGGCTAGTCTACGGACCTATCGCCCAACACACTAGCACCAGCCAATCTCTGTGGCAGTACGAATTTCGAAACGGGGACAGTCATTGGATTCCGGCTTACTGCTTCACCGAGATGGAGTTCCTTCCAGAGGACTTCACTATGATCAACTACTACATGAGTACCAGCCGGGAAAGCTGGTTCACTTATCATGTTGTCTGCGTGCGGATGTTACTCAACGAAGATGGTGACAAGATTGTGGGCGATGTGACCCTGTTCAACGACACGCTGAAAGAGCGCCTGGGAGCGACATCCAAGGAGCTAGAGAAATTTGCGTCGGATGAGCAGCGCGTGCTAGCGCTAGAGAGAGTATTCAAGATTCATATCTCCGAGGCCGATCGAGAGAGTATTCGCCATACTATATCGGAAATCCTCTAGAGAACGGCGCAGCCGGAGAAAGGACATCCGGAAAAAGGGCAGTAGGAAGAAAAATCACCGCACTGATAGGCTTTGTTGATCAAATATGATCTGGAAATTTGAGACAATCTTATTGGCCACTATTGTTACTGATAGGAAGCCCAATTTATTATTGATATTGTAGCGCCACAGTTAATTTAGCACGCGCTTTAGGGTACGGACCGTTTGTTGTCCCCGCCGCGGAACTGGCCAGTCATATGAATCCCACGATCCCGCTGACGTGGCGCAAATGAAGCTTGTCTAACTAATGAGATAGGATAAGGATGCTAAGCTCATTTGCTTAGCCATCTACTAGTTTCGCTCTAAGCATGATAGGATCGTCCTTCGGAGTGGGCGAACGGCTGGCCCTTTCGCTCCTGTTCCGTCTTGGCACGCGCTCATTCTACGCAAAACACGCCGGTATACTACGCCAGAAACAATATCCCCTAAGTTGGAGACTACGAGCTGGGACCAGACACTTGAGGTCCTAGCTGTATCGCGAGTTATTAGTCGGGATTAACTAATCAATTTAGGCCGAGGAAGCGAGGATGGAATCCTTTCATCCTCGACTCACTCACAGCCGTCTTCCGGGGAAATGCCAGTTTCGCATAGCTGGTTAGCTCGTGGCTGCTGAAATGCTTCCTTTCGAAGTGTCCATATCCAATCCCTGAACGTCGCTTGAGCCTGTCTCCTGTTCCGCGCGTGGTTTTCATGTCATGCACAACGATACTACACGGTTAACACTCGTCTTTGGCAGGCAAACGGACACTGCGAATTCAACACTGATCAATCTCCCCGTCGGGAACAAGGGGTAACACTCCCCCGTCATCGATCACCCATTAATGCTATGTTTTTAGCCCGTTCCTACAACTTGTGTTCTCACCCCCACCCTTGACCGATTGGCAACCTTGACGCATTAGCATAAGCTACCCATCCTATTTCAAGAGAGGGCCGAATATTACCGCGGAGCAGAGGCAAGTAGCTCTTTAGGGGACCTTGCTGTAGACTGGTTTTGCCTTTCAGCTTGGGAATCCTGGATAGCAGCCTGTAATTTCCCCAGCAACATGCGCGCTCGCCTACGTACACGACGGTACGTCATGCGTCACGGATTAGTCCTGGTCTAATGGTATGGTGGTCAAGCTAAACAGGGATCAAAGATAGTGTCTGATAGTGATACGCGCCTAGAGCGCACTATGGGCCTGCTCATTCGATCGGGGAAGTAGCTTCAGACCCCGTCTCAGCTCCTGTGTGCACTCCGACAGAAGATGGATTATTTAGGTGGCCGGGCTTGTCCGAGGTTATGCCATTCAACTAAAACATGTGCTGATAATGAGACTTCCCAGCTCGAGTCAAGTCTACTAATTGGCTCGGCTGTGGTCTGGGGGGTGCGCGTGTACATAGTTCTCCATACTTACTGCCGCAGCCGTTCGTGCTCCCTGTGTTAAACCACCATGAGCGCACAGTCTATGCTGGTACCTCTCCTTTTATGTCTACATTCCTGCTTCTACGTCAATGCCGAACATGCTTCCACAGCTCTCGCATATCTACCACCCTCTTCGCATCCCTAATATTGGCATACGCGCAATCTACCCGGCGACGAAACATGCGCCCGATCATGTCGACGAAATAGCCATTGCCACTATATACTTGATGGTGATGATGATACTGGCTGTTTTGATACGACTGGCCTTTCGGCTTCACATGCTTCGCTCACTAGAATGGGACGATGGGACTATATCGCTTGCACTGGTATGTTTACCGCGCCAGCTTTTCGAGACGATTGGTGTATTGATTCATTAATGCGGTTCCATCACGATAGTAGATCTTCGCTGTTGCACAATGTGCTGTCATTCTTGCTGGAACGAGGAATGGGTTAGGCAAGCGAGAATTGAGCCTCAGTGACACGGAAGTCCAAACACTAGAGAAGGTGGGTTTTAGCCAGTCTCTGATAACACAGGTTTGTTAATATCACAATGTCTGTTTGTCTGTCAGGTTCTCTATTCATCGGAAATTCTATACATTCTTGCTCTTAGCTTAGCAAAGACCTCAGTACTGCTACTCTTGAACAGGTTGGCTGTTAACAAGTGGCATAAGCGGATTTCATTCTGGACGTCAATTCTGGTCGGTATTTGGACTGTGCCAGTCCTTTTCACTCTGGCACTACAATGCGGAGTGCCTAATCCTTGGGATCTTAGCGAAGGCCATTGCGTAGATAGTGTGAGTTGGCAGATCCTCCTCGCCTATCATCTCAAAACTCGCGCACGCCCATATGCTATCAGGATATTCATATATTTCCATTCCATGCAACGACACTGACAGGTACGAATGCAGTTCGCCTTCTGGACAGGAATCTCCCCTATCGACATAATAACAGAACTCGTCATCTGCATCCTACCTATGTACATCGTGAAACCAGTCCAGGTCGTCTCCGGGAAGAAAGTCACCGTTGTGGTTGCATTTTTCATCCGCATCTTGTAGGTGTATTCTAGAACTTATTGCAAATATAAACCTAACGAGAGACTGCCAGCGTTATCATGACCACAGTTATTCGCCTCATCCTCATGCGCCACTCCCAGTCCTCTTCCTTCACGGACATGAACGACGCCGCGTTTGCAACAACCATCACAACAGAATGCGTCCTCTGCGTCAGCATCATGACAGCCTGTATCCCGTGCCTGAAACCGTTCCTCGATGCCTTTGACAGCGGCATGCTCAACGTATCTTTACATAAGCGCATTGGTGAAGGCAGCAATAGCAACTCTTATGGCAATGCGTACGCGATGACGAGTATGAGCAAAGGTGTTAAAGAATCAGCCACTAGGTCACGGTACATGGAGGATGAGATCGAGGGCTTGGGCACTTCTGCTGCAGCGTTTGCTGTCACATCTCCGGGTCAGTCATTGGGTAGGAGGGATTCAACTCTGGTCATTCAGAGAACAGATCAGTGGAGCGTAAGGTGCGAATACGTTGATCCGAGGAATGGGTCTGTTGAGGATGTGACGGAGCGGTCGGAGAATAGTGTGGCTAGGTGTGAACATTCTTTGTAGTAATTTCCTATGTTTCTGGTACGGTTTGTAGATAATCTTCCTGCGGCTTGGCTGATGGGCCTACCTCGTAGCAGAATCTACCCCCCAAATTATCTGCATATGTGTCATTAGGTTCTCATAGACTGTAATCTACTCTTAGGCCACCAAAGGCTGGTACTTCATATATGACTGATTGATTACTTAACTTGTTGCTTCATCTTCGAACATAGCACATCCAGAGTACTCTTGCCGAGTTGCCAACGGCTAGAACAAGATTCTTTCTAAATCTCGCCAGCATTGAGGTCCAGAAATGGAAGCTGTCTAGGAGCATTGATGCAGTGAAGACAGAGGGGTGGAGGGGAGCGTTAAGGAAAACGGCGTAGTCCAACTACCACTTTTTAAAATGATATATACCGTTTCTTGGACCAACAATTTGTTCTGCTCCCTATATTTCTTTCAGAATATATAGGAATAAACCTGCCCTTGTAGCATCCATTGTGTGGAGATGACAGACAGCTTTGTAGAGAATGTCTGCTAGGCAGGACAACCAGCATAATGGGATAAGGGAATCGAACTCACAATGACGTAAACTTTTACGCAGTCGTCCAACCAGGCCACTGAGGTGGGTGCCCTGTACATGTCATCAATGATCTCTTCGGGCCAAATGGGCCCCAGGGATACCAATGACGTGTCACTGATCAATCCCGCGACCTATTCCACCCATATCAGGATATATATATATATAGGGAACTAAAAGTGCTTCATTCTTAGGCCCGTATGCGGGACACTCACACGCAAGGGGGCAGAAATTAGAATGGCAGTGTCAAAATAGAGCTGGAAAAATAGTTGAGAGAGATTCAGAGGATTCCTGACACCATGATTCAATAATATTGATACTGTATAACCTCTGGACGAGGCAATAAGAAAGCAAGGTGATTATTCCCAAAAATTTCAAAATAGTAGATGTTATGTGTGGTTCTAGCTTGATAGTATAATGTCTTTGCACGTGATAAAAGCTCATTTGGTATAAGTCCGAAATGTTTTTCTAGCTCCGGTTTGACACTTGCGCTCTAATTTTAAACCCTGTCACGTGTGGGTGCCCCACGTACGCTTTATCTGGTATCTCGAAACGACTTTGCTGGAGGTCATATTGTCGAAGAATTGGGCAAAGGAGATCAGTTTGATGTGATAGTAGATTTTTCAGTATCGCTTATCTTGCAATACTGCTTCTGCTGTCACGTCACTATCCCTTATAACATATCTTCATTCATATTCATGTAAAATGAATACCTGCGTCAGGAGTATATATATATATGAGCTACATACTATTGAAGTACCCACCTTGCTGCATCATGACCTGCTTGTCCCAATCCCCTGTTTATGAGGGGTATTGAAAATTTCGAGACCTATATTCACAAACGTAAATTCTATTGGACATAGTGCATTGAGTATTTCCTAATTTCAACTTGGTTCCTTATTTTCGTCGATATTGCACCTCGGTATCGGGATGCTTTGCCAGGTAACGCCTTGTCTTTATGGATGGAACCTAATGTTTCGAGATTTTTCTACCCGTAGCACGGAATATATATATATATATATATCGTACAGGTACTAGTTGTGTTAGAGGCAGCTCACATAGGTTGGAGTAAATAAGCTGCCACAACCTCAAGTGAAAGTAACATTCTATACAAAACTCATTATCTGATGAGGGTTGGCCACCTGTTGGTGGCGACTAAGAACTTCATACTGTGTAGGCTTACTGACTGAGAGCCTAGTACCATAGTGGAGGGAAAAACAACGTTTTGGCAGAGTCTGGATCTACCATTTTGTTGGAAGAAGCGAAGACTAACACCGGTAGCTTGGATGTCATCCCCCAAGCTCGGAACTAGAAGTCACACTTGGGCTGCCTCGAGTAGCAGGAAACGCTGCCGCCCATTTGTGCAGTGCCTCATTCACTATAACTTTATTCGGCCATTATGGATATCACGAGAAATCGAATTAAATGCCGCCCTACGCCATGGCAGTGAAACGGCCCAGGCGCCTGGCGCGCATTCCGCCGGAAAATCTCAGCTCGAATTCCAGCCGAGCCTGGCCAGCCGGCGCCAACCCCTCACCCAGATTCTTAGCCTCAGCCCAGCCAAGCCCGGAGACCAAAAACAAACTTCCTAGATCAATTGCTTCGCCAAGCGCTGAGACCTTACCGAGCTCCGAGGCCCTACAACCCTATTCCATCCATGCCCAAGGGTGTTGGGGGGGGGGGGGGGGGGGCAATATCCAGTACAAGCTTGCGAGAGCCCCTCTACCCACACACAGATTGATCACTGCAAGGATGGGGCCATCTTAGCTTGTTTCGGGTACGAGCTTGCGAAGGTTCCACGCGACGGGATCCACCGGCCGTGGTTCCTCCCGCTCAAAGCAGCCTGGGTCGGCAGTTTAACCCGAAGGGCCGGATTTTGGTATCAACGGGCGATGGGGCCGGAGTTTGGCCGGGTGGGAAATTACCGGTGAGGACTTTATATGTTTGTTGTTGCCTGGGCGTGGTACAGCTCTGGGTACAATCTAAAGGGTAGATTAATGAGCTAATTGTAGTCAGGACAATGCCGTTGTATCTTTCACGCAAGAGATCAAGTATAGACTATCGGCGAATAAAGAGGGAATGAGATAAATAACAATTGTAGATATCAATATTAAGTAAATTTTCATTACTGTGCAGTAAAACCTGCATAGTTCCACATTACATATACTCGTTGGCAAAAACAATCAATCCATGCCGCAAACCCCTTCCAATCATATTGCATCATCCTCATTCCCAAACCCACTTTACCAGCCGAATGCCTCCTCGAAGTACTCAATGTCCTGGAATCCACCCTTCATGGCCTCGTACACCGAAGACCTGCACTCATCCGCCATCACGGCCGGACCACAGGTAATAACAGCCAACCGGGCCGAGCTAGCCTCTGCCTCACGCACAGCAGTCATTACACTGGCGCGAATAGCAGGCCGGCCGTAGCGATGCTCGACGTTGAGGTCCTCGACGGAGCGAATCGACCCGCTGGACCTGTCCTGGAGAGCCATAGCATCCGCAACAGCCTCCTTCTCCTTCGTCGGAGTCGTTACGCCGGAGTCAATTACGTTTCCGGCCGCCGACCTGTCAGTGCAGAAGAGAGTGGTGGTAATGTCGCTGTGCTCGAAAGCTGCGGACAGATCTCTGCAGCAGACTTCGTCGAATATCTTCTTTTGGCGGCCTGTCCAGATGAGCTGGATACGAGTGGTGTTGGTCTTGCCGGCCTCGACGCGCGAGATGTGGTCCAGGATGTAAGGCACCGCGCAGGCAATACCAGTTCCACCCATGATCATGAGGACTGTGTCGAAAGTGTGAAGAGGAGCCTGGTGTCCGTATGGGCCCTCCAGGAGGAGCTTAGGGCGAATTTCAGAGCCGGCCTTCTGGCATTGGTCACGCAGACGTCTCGTCCAGCCGTCATAGGGACGGATGTAGAAGATAAGCTTCGAAGACTCCTCCTTCGAAGTTGCGTTCTCGTAACAACCCAGAGTGAAGGGGTGGTTTTCCCAACCGCGGAGAGTGACGGGTTGGTAGAGGTAGTAGTGTTGGCCAGGGGCAGGCTTCAGGGTTTGAGAGGCAGGGTATATCTCGACGCGGATCAGGTCGCTTTCAGGACTATAGCTGACCGTGGAGGAGGTCGTCGAGATGAATCCCTTTCCGAACTTGACGTGGAGGTTGCAGTAGAGCATGCGTGCATAGCGGACGGCACGATCGAAGCCCCAAATGGCAACCATGGGCCAGAGGTAGCCGTTGTAGACGGTCCCGTCGAAGCTGGTGTGGCTGCAGTCTTACAGTTAGAGGTGGTGATGTGGATTGCGTTGTTAAGGAGAGCATACCGGAACAAGGCGTAGATGGTCAGAATGGCCAAGAGGACGTGGATGATCAAGAAAGTCTCGTAGAATCTCTGACGAAGCCAAGTACCAGACTGGAAGAGTATAACTGCCATAACAACGGTAGCCTAGAAAATGATTAGAATTGTTGGGCACCACGTATTATCAGAATAGCTATAACATACCACAATACCCATGTAGAAGTAGTTCTGCTTCAGCGCGCTGTGGTATCTGCCATCTGTATGTAGCATATGTTGTCAACGGTATGTAAATAGTAGGAACTGGTTGTGATAAGGGGGCTAACCATAAACCTGGAAGACCACAGTGTAGGCGAATGAGTGAACAATAGCCAGAAGGGTACACACCCAGGCCGTGTGACGGTGGAAGATGTTGAAAGACTGCACGTTGAAATCGGTCGCCCAGAGGAAAATATTGTTGCGCCCAGCAAAGAGCCAAAGGAAGGGCAGGCAGGCGTAGGACAAAACACCAGTGCGGTCGGAGGAATATTGCCAATTTTGCTCGTACAGACTCGGCGTGCTTGAAGTTGAGCCGTTAGTTAAAGCGAACTAGCCCTGAGTAGACTGATAACGCACCTGATGTTACCCGTGAAACTCTCGTAGTTGACGCAAGACAGAATGATAGCGACGGCCCAGAAACCAAAGACGATCAAGGTGTCCAGTCGTTTGGGAATGGTGTGAAACAGGAAAAGCTGTTGGTGGTTCGACAGGTAGGGAGCGAAGCTGGCAGGAATCACAAAGTATGTGCGCATAAAGTGTGCAACTGCAGCGACTGGTGCGAATGCCTTGCTTTGAGGGACTGCACTGTTTTTCTCGGCGTCACCAGAATTAGAAAGTCTCATACTAGAACGGACAAACTTCCAGGCCTTCACTATTATTCCAAGGGCCAGGACACCGCCCCAGTATCCCATGAGACCCCATCCATAGCGTTTGTCTTTGATCAATGCATAGTCGTGAGTGACCTGAGCTCATGTTAGTAGAATAGTGATAGGAATAGTCAAGCAGTTGACCCACGTAAGACTTGTAAGCCCGCTTGTAGTAGGAATGACTCAGAAGGACAGGTGATTCAATGGTTCCGGTCGTAGTAGTACTATTAGTTTCCGGGTCGATAAC